TAGTAGGGAGTGGATGGTATTTACTTTTTTGCTGAAAAAAGTGATAAAGTTGTTTCTTCTGTGTCTTCTGTTTGAGAGTAAGTTTGCGGTTTGAGAATGTAATTTATGGTTGAGAAAAGTTGCTTGGAGTTTTCAGGGCTGTTGTTGATAATGTTAGAATAGAACTGTGAACGTGCATCTCTCAAGGACCTTGCATTGGACTTCTGATATTCACGGTAGCCCTGCCTATGAACAGTAAGTCCTGAGGCCTTGAGGTGCTGCTCAAGGATTTGGCCAGCTTTTTTCATTTGCAGTAGTTCAGAGGTGTACCATGGGTCTGGGCGTAAGAAGCTGACAGTTCTAGTTTTGACAGGAGCACGGAGATCTAGGAGACTCAGAGATTGGTTGTAGAAATCAACCGACTCGGTGACTGAAGAGAAATCAGCAGAGGTGAGATGTTGGAGGTCAATTGTTAAAGTGTCGAGTTTTTCCCAGGTCCCTATAGAAGATTTTACGTTTGAGTTTGGTCTGACACACCCAGATCATATCTTGGAAGGTTGCTAATGGGGGCGGAGTTGGATATGACCAGGTCCATTGTGTGCCCCCTGAAATGTGTTGTTGAAGGTTGAGGCAGTTCAATATTTGCAGAAACTCAGTTGCAAAATGACAGAAGCATTGTCTACATGAATATTAATATCTCCAAGTATCATAATGTTGACAGAGGTGGTGCAGAGTGTTGTGAGAAGGTCGTGTATCTCTGAGATAAGTCATATTGGGTTTGGGGGGTGGGCCGGTAGATGAGGAGCATTTTCAAGGGGGGGGTAACTTAAATGCTAGGCATTCAAATGAAGACAGTGTAGGAAGGGGGAGGGGGGTCAGCACCAAGTCCTGACGGTGTATGGCAGCTAGGCCACCACCACGACCAGTGCTGCGGGCTCTGTCCAGGTAGCTGTAACCGGGGGGACAAACTTCATTAAGGGCTGAATAGACCCCTGGCTGGAGCCATGTTTCTGTGAGACACATGGAAGTCTTGTTCAGTCTTGGGTTGTTTTATGTGAGGCTCAAAGAGGATCACTGTTTTTTTTTTTTTTTTTTTCTGTTTTCCGTCCTCCTGAGCTTTTTTTCCCTTTATGTTTCATTGATTGTTTCAGCCCAGTCTGCCCCGCCTGTTCTGCACTGCTACTAATTTCATCCTATCCACTGCTAACTCCATCCTGTCCGCTGCTAACGCCATCCTGTCCACTGCTAATGCCAGCCTGTGTAAAAACAGCCTGTCCAATGCTAATGCCATCCTGTCCTGTGCTGACGCCATCCTGTCCTTTGCTGACTCCATCCTGTACTTTGCTAACGCCAGACTGTCCGCCGCT